CATGATTATAAATGGCCTAACTGCCTTAGTTTGCATGGGAATTGAATATATAAATGTATATATTGATTTATACATGATTATATATGTCATAACTGCCTTAGTTTGTATGGAAATTGAATATATAAATGTATATACTGATTTATACATGATTATATATGTCCTAACTGCCTTAGTTTGTATGGAAATTTGATATATAAATGTATATATTGATTTATACATGATTATAAATGGCCTAACTGCCTTAGTTTGTATGGAAATTGAATATATAAATGTATATACTGATTTATACATGATTATATATGGCCTAACTGTCTTAGTTTGTATGGAAATTAGATATATAAATGTATATATCGATTTATATATGATTATATATGGCCTAACTGCCCTAGTTAGTACGGGAATTGGATATATAAATGTATATATTGATTTATACATGATTATAAATGGCCTAACTGCCTTAGTTTGTATGGGAATTGAATATATAAATGTATATATTGATTTATACATGATTATATATGTCCTAACTGCCTTAGTTTGTATGGAAATTTGATATATAAATGTATATATTGATTTATGCATGATTATATATGACCTAACAGCCTTAGCTTGTATGGGAATTAGATATATAAATGTATATATCGATTTATACATAGTTATATATATACTAGCTGTCTCAGTTTGTATGGGAATTGGATATATAAATGTATATATTGATTTATACATGTAAAGTATTGCATTTAATATTTTTATAATTGAAAGAAATCTCTAAAATATCACATATTTATATTACAATTTGTTTAAAGCATTCTAAAATGATCAAAAAAGTCATCAAAACAATGTAAAACTTACCTGACAAAAAAACCTTCCTTTGGCACTCGTATTTGCACACACTGCGATTTATATTGAATAACTTAATATATTATAACAATATATATTAATAAATTATATAAATTTTATTAAATGAATTAAACTAAAGTTTATTTTAATTTTTATTAAATAATTAATTTTAATTTAAATTTTATACTATAAAATGCATTTTCAGCTAGTTGCATCTGCATCTACTATTACAGACTGATGGAAAAAACCTCAAAAATAATCACACTTAATATAAAATATATTATATAATATTTATGATAACGAATACAAAAGAATTTGGCAAAATGTTTTGGTTTGGGAAAAGAATTAAATAGTCCGAGAGGCACCGACAATAAAGTTGTGAAATCTGATCAAAATAATAAACATATAAAATAAATGTTATTTTTTGATTGGTGATAAAAGTTATTAATTAATTATTTTATTAAGTTATTTATTTAACAAGTAATTAATTTATTCATTAATATGTAATGTTTTATTTAAATATCCATTTATTACTTTAATTATAACGCATTTGTTTCATTTTAAATTTTCTCAATTTATATTAATTTATTTCACCCTTTATTTAGCTACTAATTAATTTATTTATTTATTTGGACATTAATTAATAATTAATTGAATAATTGATTAATCTATTTATTAAATTAAACTTATTTATTTAGCCAGTAATTAATTTAAATATTTATTTTGACATACACTCATAAATTAAATAATTAAATAATTTTATTTATTTATTAATTACCTTAATTATTTGCTTAATTTATTAATTATTTTATCATTTATTTAGCCATTATTTAATTTATTAATTATTGGGACTTACACTCATTAAATAAATAATTAAACAATTTATTTATTATTTAATTATTTTAATTAATTGTTCAATTTATTCATTTATTTAACTATCAATTTATTTATTTATTTGGAGATACACTTATTAATTAAATAATTTATAATTAAATAATTGAATAATTGATTTATTTATAATTAACTCAATTAATAGCTTAATTAAATAATTGATTAATATTAATTAAATTAATTAATTGTTTAATTTATTCAATTATATCACAAATTTTCATTTATTATACAAATATTATAAATATATTTGTGTTTATTAAGAGTCTATTTTTGCTCGATATAATTTTATTTCTTTTAATATAAAAACACATAACTATATATATGTATATATAAAAATATTTTACAAAATTTATATTTAATATTTTGGTAAAAATAAATAATAGATTATTTGGATAAAGAGATCTTAAAATTAGTACTTTTAATTTACAATATGACTATCACATTCATCCTTATAAATGCACAAAATCTTAAAACTAATTATAATAATAATTATCATATTAAAAATAAAATACTTAAATATATTAATTTAAATCATTAATAAAAAATTTGCAAAATAAAATTTAATTAAACTGAATTCAGGAAATGCATAATTGTATAAATTAAAATAAAATTTAAATTTCATGAATTCACAAAATCTATTCTGATAATAAATTTATATTTGAATAAAGTAGATAAATTTAAAAATTCACTAAATTCAGAAATTTGTTAAAATTTGTATCGATAAATTCATGACCCTATAAATCAAAATGTATATAAATTAAGTTTATAAACTCATTTATATATAAATCAACAAATCTAAAAATGTTTATGAATGGATTGTATAGGAATTGAATATATAAATGTATCGATTTATACATCGATTTATACATGATTATATATGGCCTAACTGCCTTAGTTTGTATGGGAAATGGATATATAAATGTATATATCGATTTATACATGATTATATATGACCTAACTGCCTTAGTTTGTATGAAAACTGGATATATAAATGTATATATCGATTTATACATGATTATATATGGCCTAATTGCCTTAGTTTGTATGGAAATTGGATATATAAATGTATATATTGATTTATACATGATTATATATGGCCTAACTGCCTTAGTTTGTATGGGAATTGAATATATAAATGTATATATCGATTTATACATGATTATATATACTAACTGTCTTAGTTTGTATGGGAATTGGATCTATAAATGTATATATCGATTTATACATGATTATATATGGCCTAATTGCCTTAGTTTGTATGGAAATTGGATATATAAATGTATATATTGATTTATACATGATTATATATGGCCTAACTGCCTTAGTTTGTATGGAAATTGGATATATAAATGTATATATCGATTTATACATGATTATATATACTAACTGTCTTAGTTTGTATGGGAATTGGATCTATAAATGTATATATCAATTTATACATGATTATATATGGCCTAACTGCCTTAGTTTGTATGAGAATTGGATATATAAATGTATATATTGATTTATACATGATTATATATGGCCTAACTGCCTTAGTTTGTATGGGAATTGAATATATAAATGTATATATCGATTTATACATGATTATATATGGCCTAACTGCCTTAGTTTGTATGGGAACTGGATATATAAATGTATATATTGATTTATACATGATTATATATGGCCTAACTGCCCTTGTTTGTATGGGAAATGGATATATAAATGTATATATCGATTTATATATGATTATATATGGCCTAACTGCCTTAGTTTGTATGGGAATTGGATATATAAATGTATATATCGATTTATACATGATTATATATGGCCTAACTGCCTTAGTTTGTATGGGAATTGGATATATAAATGTATATATCGATTTATACATGATTATATATGGCCTAACTGCCTTAGTTTGTATGGAATTGGATATATAAATGTATATATAGATTTATACATGATTATCTATATACTAGCTGTCCCAGTTTGTATGGGAAATGGATATATACATGTATATATTGATTTATACATAATATGTCAAGGATATGTCCTTCACAAAATCGTTTTTAGAATTTCAAAATTAAATAAATAAATTCATGAATTCATAAACTTATTTAACTTATAAAATAATTTTCATTACAAATTTAAATACATAAATTTGGCTATTTCTAGCAATGTATCTATTATTTAATCGATAATATATAATACAATATATATATATATATATATATATAAATATATATATATATATATATATATAAATATAAATATATATATTCATACATACTTTTTTATTATATAAGCTTAATATTTCTGTAATTTAAATGCCAATTGCACTACCCAGCTTTTCGGTATAAAAAAGTATAAAATTTAATTTACAAAAATTAAAAATTTCCAAAAAAAATTGTCTAATCTAACGAGTATTTACAAAAAATTACAAAAAACTATTTACACTTTAAATAATTATAAAATATTTTATATATAGTTTAATAAATGCTTTTTAAATATAATATTTATAATACCTTTAATTTTAAAATCTCATCCTGATTTTTTTTTTAAATTTATCCTGCTGCAGTACGAAAATTTACATACTCTCTCGCCTCTTGTATTGTGTTTAAAGGAGCAGCTGGTAAATTACCTAAAAAAGAAAAAAAAAATAGATAAGTGAAGTGTTTTAATATTATCATTATCATTATTATTGTCATTCTATGAAATTTCTTACATATTATTTATTAAGTTTTAACTTTTATAGTTAAATTGATTGCCATTGAATGAAGGCTAAGATGCTAGCCGAAACGTATGGATTTTAAATAAATAAATTTCTAAAAACTATCATACTATTTTTATTGATGTAACGCTAGACTTTACAATTCAAATTAAACATATTATATCAACATGGAATTCAAGACTATGCAAATAAATAATAAATTAAAAAAATATATACCAATCGATTTTTGCATAATTATAACAATTTTTATATCTATGTTATAAATATATATATATATATATTTATATATATATATATATATAATATATATATATTTATATATATATATATATATTTATATATATATATATATATATTTCCTTACCATAGTCCATTGTAGAAAAAAGGGGAGGTGTCTGTGGCGTAACAGGTGTCAAAGGAGGCGTTTGATTGGTTCTCGAATTAAAAGAAGAAGTTACCACAGGTTGATTCGAAGGCGGAAATCTAATGTAGTGTTCTTGGCCTGTCGGACTGGTAAAACGCTAAAAAAAATAATATAACATATGTATATATATGAATATATATATATATATAAATATATATATATATATATATATATAACATAATTATATATATATATATATATATATATATACATACACATATACATATACATATATGCACTTATATATATATATATATATATATATATATTATATATATATATATGAGTGAGTTCTTAATGGCGATACATCAAACAAAGAAAAGGCAAAGATTTATAAAATAATCTTTAATTCCAAACATTTTGACATTCAATTTAATGTCATCAGTGGATATTGAACATGGTATTTTATACTTAAAAATGTGTACACATCACAAAATTTTGCACTAACATTGATACAACCAACCAGTCGATAATCATGCATTTTTTTAGTAAGAAAAATAATGAAAGTTTTGTTTTGCAAAACTGTGGGAAAAAAATTTTGAGCCAAAAGTGCCACTTAAACTTAAATAAAATTCATGATTATCGACTGGTTAGTTGTATCAATGTTAGTGCAAAATTCTGTGATGTGTACACATTTTTAAGTATAAAATACCATGTTCAATATCCACTGATGATGACATTAAATTGAATGTCGAAACGTTTGGAAATAAAGATTATTTTATAAATCTTTGCCTTTTCTTTGTTTGATGTATCGCCCTCAAGAACTCACTCATATATTTCAACATCAAAATTAACTACTAAATCATATATATATATATATATTATATATATATATATAACATAATTATGATTTGGTTTTTATTTTATATGAGACAAAAGTATTTTTTACCTCTATGTTACTTCTTACAGGTAACTGCAGCAGCGGTCTAGGAGCAGGAGGTATCAGATAATTGTCAAAATTGCTCTGTTTCTTAGTTTGGTCGATTGATAGATGTTTCAGGGACATCTGGTAAAAAAAGTGAAGAAAATTGATTAATTGGTTCCATATGAAAGTTTTGAGTTATTTGATAAAAACCAAAAAAATGTCCCAAACTTCCTATCTTTATTGCTTAAGAATGAAATATCGAATTCAAAATCGTTTTATTCAAAACTTTTATATCGGAGTGTATAAAAGTGTTTCCTAAGAAATGTTGTAAATTTTATCTAGTTTCACCCTATCTAACTGAAAAGGGGCAGTTCCATATGAAATTTTTAAGTTATTTGACAAAAACCAAAAAAATGTCCCGAATTTTCTATATTTATTGCTTGAGAATGAGATATCATCGAATTCAATGTCGGTTTATCTAAAACTTTTATATCGGAGTGTATAAAAGTGTTCCCTAGGAAATGTTGTAAATTTTATCTAGTTTCACCCTATCTGGATTTTAGAAAAAAAAATTAAAGAAATTCATGCTTAACGTATCTAATTTCAATAATGACTTACTTTTCTGTCTTCATTATCAGAATGTGTACCACTATCGCCTAAGGAAGCTCCACTGCAAACACTGCCAGTACTAAGACGTCCAGAAGAAGATGAACCTAAAAAAAACGTAAAATTGTAATATACCATTTGAAAGGTAAATAAAATGGCTACAACTTTTTTCTTCATATTTTTTTTCGTAAATCCTCTCATTTTGAAACGGCGAAGGGTTAAAGGGCTCGAGTGAGATTCTGATTGCGCAGCCGCGCACTCTTTAAACAATCATAACTCTCAGTCAATTTTTGTGTGAAAGGAAAATAATAAAAAACAATAATAAGCCAGAAAGATCTCTTTGATTTTTATCTATATGCTTTTATTTCTATCTATTTATCTTTCTATTCTATCTATTTTTCAATTTGTATTATATCTATTTCTATTTATTTATCTTTTATTCTTTTTGAGATATAATGAAAGTAATTTAGATTTTTAAAAAAATCGGAAGAACAAGTTTTTATGAAATCGTGAGTTTTCTGAAAATAGTTTGTACTAAAGTAGTGAATCTGCTAGAATCCATCAAGATGTGTATAATGAAGTGAATGCTAGATGGAATGTGAATTACTTTAATTCTGGTGGAAATGGCGCTCATTAAACCACATGATTTGAAAGAAAAAACCATCGTATATGCTTCTTATTTGCATCATTTTACACGCAAACACTATTATACATACCTCACTCATTTTACACGCAAACGACTTGTAACAGCACTCATTTTAAAGCTTATGTTGAGCACTATAAAACCCAATTTCACGGAAATGCATAAAATATAAAACCTCGACACTAGATGGCTTTAAATACAACAATTAAATCTTGAACGAAAATAAAAACGACTTTGCTCTTTCAAATCTTGCTTAATATTATTCCTAGAACACTTTATGTAATACCGATTTATTAATATTTTATTGACATTATTTTGTTCATAACATGATTTTCGTTAAAATGTATATTTTAGGAAATATTTGCAAAAAAACGAAGAAAAACGCCATAAAAATTCAGTTGCCAGTAACTTGAAAAGTATTAGTTCAGTTGCCAGTAACTTGAAAAGTATTAGTTTTCTTAAACTTTTTAGGCATTTTTTCTCATAATTAGTTCTATCGATTTCCGACGTTATTTTGAAAA